AGAATCGGACTTTTATCAGCTAATCAATAACACCAACAACAACTCACCTTTGATACTGATTCGCATTGCCGAACCCACCGCCCGAGGCCAGATAGTTGCTGAACGATTGTCTCTGACTCGCTCTTCTGCTCTGCTGCTGCCGCACTTCCTGCACATTCAAAGGCTTCTGCCCCAACGCCACCAGGAGGCGGTTCCTCAAAGAGACCACCCTGTCATCGGTTGAGGCGCCCAGATAGTTGAGAGCGGTGGAAAGGTCCCCTTGGGAGGCCAGAAGAGAGGCATAGTGCGATAGAGTGTCCGCAAACGCACCTGATATCTAGGAGATAAAAATGACAAGAGATCAAATCAAAGAAGGCAAAAAAGGTCGACGAGGGGAAAAAACGAAATAACTCGAGAATTGTGGAGTCTAGCAAAAAAGTGTATATAGAAAAAATTGTACAACGTGAAATTTCCTATAAAATAGATTCTATTCATTTTTCGTCTACGATGAATAGATTCTGAGATACAGGGAATGATAATGTCGAGAAGAGGAAGGTCAAAAAATGTCGAATAGGGGAAATAACTCGAAATAACTCGAAAATTGAAACCTCTAGAAGAAAGTGTGTAGGAACAAAATTGAAGAACGTGAAATTTCCTATAAAAATGATCTAGTCATTTTTCGTCTATGATGAATACTTTATAATATACAGGGAATCAAAAAAAACACGAAAGGAGGAAGATGGATCGTTCATCCCAGTGACAACCAAAGACGCACTAGCACTTCCGCATATTTTACCGATGTGGGTGCCGAAATCAGTGTTTCTGGCTATTTCTAGCTACAGTTCTGAAATGAGAACATCCCTCTATTGGCAAAGGAGCAGAGCAGTGGTAGTATATTTGGTTTTGCTGATGATACAGTAATAGTATATGAAGCTGAAAACTGGGAAACACTGAGAGAGAAAGCGCAGACAGACTTTTCTTTAGTTAAAAGTTGGCTTGAACATAAGCTGCTGACAATAAATATAGAAAAAACTTATTACTTGCCGATCAGTTGTAATAATAATAAGAGACCACATTTCGACCATTTAAATATCACCACTAAAAATCAGAGTTTCACCATATCACAGGTCAACAAAATCAAATATTTAGGTGTCATGATTGATAGTTATTTGAAATGGGATGTACACATTAGGTATGTTATTAAGAAACTACAAATCATCCTGTATAAGTTCCGGTACCTAAGGAACTATTTATCATCCAGTCACCTGTTAACATTGTATTATGCGCTAGTAGCAAGCCACCTACGCTATGGAATCGTAGGGTGGGGTGGAGCACTGCGCTCGCACATTAACCCACTCGAGGTTGTACAGAGAAGATTTTTAAAAATAATTCTACAAAAACCAAATAGATTCCCTTCAGATATGTTGTATCGAGAATGCAAAATATTAGACATAAGACAACTATATTATCTGAATGTAATATCGAAATACAAAAAAAATAAAAAAAGCGCTCATTTACCCACCCACAATTATGATGAAACGAGACAAAGACACCATTACGTCATTCCACAGATAACTAAATCTATTTGCCAACAATCGTTCTCATATATTGCCCCAAAGGCTTACAACTCCATTCCAGATAACATGAAAAACATTTCAAATATCAAGTTGTTTGAAAACAAAATTGAAAAAGTTTGTACATGAAACATCAAGATCTGTAATTATTGCAATAATTGAGAGGAAATATTATTAATATTTTATTCACGCATAATGTATTCTTGGTAACGTTTTATTATTTCTCATATTATTCTTATTATTATTAATTATTGTTCACATCATTATTATCACTATATATATCATTAATATCATTGAATTTATCATTATTATCATCATATTATGAATTACCATTAATAAACCTATTTCAACATAACATTCCAGAGATACCTATGTCTATGAGTCAGCTATGCAATGTTAATTTGATTTGATATCATCGTATCATATATTATGGTTCTCATGATTTATATATACATATATTTCTTTTTGTTCTCCGCTATATTATAGAGACCGCGTTATCATTATCTGTATTTAGTTATATTATATGTTTCTCGAAACAAGTGTTTACATCACTTATCGAGTATTGTCATTTATTCATGTTATTTATACTTATAACTTTTTTTTTTATATATTTATGTATCTCATATCTGTTTTCTTTGTCATATTATTTCACGAATAAATGATATTATTATTATTATTATTATATTATTATTATTAGTATGTAGAAGAAACTGTCTACAACACTCAAAACTGACTCCCTCCTAAGAAAGCAAATCGTCAAAAATAATATTTCCCATGTTCATGTTGGAAACAGAAGCAGATTAGTTCCTAAGAAATCTTAGGTCAAGTAAAAATTTGATTTTTTTTTGCTGCTGCCGCACTTTCTGCACATTCAAAGTCTTCTGGCCCAGCACTTCTTGCGGTTCCTCAAAGAGGCACCCAGACAGTTGAGGGCGGTGGAAAGGTCCCCTTGGGAGGCCAGAACCAGAACCAGACAGCATATTATTTTTCTGCAACCGACACAAAAGTCGTCCATTTTGATACCAAAATTAGCTCTTAAATTGACGTTTCTATTACTGACACAAAAATTGGTATGTTGCTAGGCAACATATTTAGTTCCTAGGAGCTAAAGTTGAATTTTAGTTCCTAGGAGCTAAAGTTGAACTTTAGCTCCTAGGAACTAAAAAGGATGTACTGGACGTCATCAAGAATGAACAACATTGTGACGGTTGGTTATTCGGGTTGAGACGCATACCTGATTTGTTTCCAATTTCAGCAGATTTGGCATTTCATACCCATGCTGGAGATATAAATACACCTTATTATTGTTCAGTATTGGAATTATAAACATCTCAGTTAAGTATTTTTGTTTTGATCAGGGAAGCCTTCAAGATTCAAATACTTGCTTGATCTGTATTTCATTCGTTATTCTCGGGATGGATAACTTGTTTTTGAATAATCACGGCAAGCAATAGTTTTTTTGTCTCAAACAACGATATTGTTTAGCTTCATTTGATTATCAAGTTAAACACAGTGTAGTATGGAGAGGAATAAATAATCACTATTATCATTGTTGATATGCTCACTAACCTAACATTTTCCACGTCTTGTTCCTAGCACTTGTTGTATTTAGAGATATACTTGAAATATGTATCATCATCAAGTGGCAACTCTGTCTAGTTTATGACAAGTGTCCTGTGTCACTTGAGGAGAGGGGTTTGTCAATTGTCAGAAGTGAGGACTCAAGCATTATCCATTATTAATTTAACTTCAGAGTTGTACTTGTACCAATGAATGAAAGTCAGTAAATATGAATATTATTTATTAAATATTGATACTTATAAGAAATATAACAGCACTGGCTCGGTATTTGCCATTAGAGCACCTGGTCCATACACAAATATGTCACTCTGTGGTTGTATTTATATTGAAACCACAATTTGAACATCCTAGAAAACCTCACCTGCTGTTAATGCAGGTAGAATATTCTCACCACATGGATTATTTGTCAATATTTGTTGCATTGCATACCTACATCATATGGCACGACATTGGTAATTACTTCACATTCTTACTTGAGTTAATTGTTTCGGTTGCAGAAAAAATAGCATGTTTCATTCGGATCAAAAGTGACTTTGTTCGACTCGCAAATTTTGCTTTCGCTCGGCTTCGCTAAACGCTCCGCCTCGCAAATGCAAAATTCGCTTGTCAAACAAAGTGTCACTTTTGATCCTAATAAAACAATCTACTATTAATTTATGAAAGTAAAAAGCTGTTTAACCACATACGAAATCAGGAAGGAGAAAAGCTATAAAAAGTTCAGAAATCTCGTTAAAGAAGCTCTTGCAACAAAAGCGTACTACAACCTTGAGGAATATTACAATGAAACTCTGTTGTGATTGAAAATTTTATATTGTTTTTTATTTACACCTATACAGGGTATGTCTCTATATCGTCTCTATATCAAGAATCAGTCGGGAGAAATCCATGAAGAAATGCATGCTTGTATTTTAGAATACACTCTCTTCATTTGAAATATTTTCAGCAATGCAGTGTTGCCGCTCCTATAAAAAAGTATCAACAACTTTGTTATTCTCCCTGAAGAGCTGTTTTCATCCATACATCATACTTGGATTCAATCGGAAATGATTACAGAAATTTAGGGTGTTCAAAATCGAGATTTTTCAACTTTAGGATTTGTTTGATTTACTATTTACCGATATTTAATCGGAACAGATACAGGGTGATTGAAATTCTGAATCTTGAACCACCCTGTATCTGTTTCGATTAAATAACAGTAAATAGTGAATCAGAAGTTGAGATAGGAACATGTGAGCCGTTTTGACTAATAATGACTAGTTTCCACACAAAAAAATCCTAGAGTTGAAAAATCTCGATTTTGAACACCCTATATCTCTGTAATCATTTCCGATAGAATCCAAGTGTGATATATAGATGAAATCAGCTTTTCAGGGAGAATCTTAAAATGCGATAAAAAACAGGGTGTACTACAGCAACACTGCATCGTTGAGAATATTTTAAATGAAGAGAGCGTATTCTGAAATGTAAACACATTTTCATGAATTTCTCCCGACTGATTCTCGATATAGATATAGTGTAAGCTCGTCGTGACATACCCTGTATGTGGAGTCTGATTTTGAACTATAAAATATGTTTTAATTTAATGACTTGTGAACTTACGTTTACATTGTGTGATTCTGTATATTTGTGTTTTTACATTTTGCAAATCATTATTGAACAATTTTTTTTTTAACAATGCAAGTTGAACTCTGTGAACTTGTTTCAAATTGTGTGTTTCTGTGTATATATGTTTTAATTTTGAATCATTTAACATTTTGTTAAGAGTTATATAGTTTTGTCAATAAGAAATTATTTTGCTTCGACAATAAATTATATTTCTCTCTCTTTCTCTCAACTAACCTTTACGTGTCTCCCTTGTCTTTCCACAGCTTTCTGCAAGCAAGTCACTAACTCGATCAACTCTTGCAGATCGTCGGTCGACTGAGCAGTGTTGCCGCTCCAGCTGGCCACCAACTTGTCGAAACTGCCAGCGCAAATATAACAGAGTTGCGCGTCTTGCGAATATTTCGGGTCGATGGTGCTTTCCTCTTCTAATCTATTGCCCAACTGTTCTGGAAGAAATAACATCGAACACATGCATTCCACAGAATCGGATTATCGCGACTGGAAGAAGAATTCAAATAGTGGAAATATGAAGAAGAAGATTTTTTATTTGTCAAGCCAAAAAAATACAAAGATTCCACAGAGGCTTCTCTGCTTGGTAGGAATAGTACAGTATATATACAAATACAAATATAAACGAATACACAGTAGGAAAAAATAATAATAATAATGAGGTACTGGTAGTAGTAAAACTAGTCATAATATACATATATAGTAGACTTTTTCATAAACACTAGAGAGCTAGCAAACATTTAGCATTCAAGGGCAAAGCATTTTCTAACATCATTATTTATTTACATGTTTTCAAGGTAGTTCCTTAGTTTATTTTTAAACAAGTGATTATAACTTTTAATTCCAGTGGGAAGCTGGTTATAAACAACTGCCCCATTGTACAAGATGGATCTTTTCGATAAGTTTGAATAATGAAGAATATATTTTTTGTGCAAGCGGCATATAAAGTGGCTTTTCTCTGTCACTTAACAGGCAGGAAAGCTGTACTTTCTCTACCTAGGCAGGAAAAGTTTGTTGGTGTGCAATGTTTCAAGTAATTTGAATGAAATCGTTGATCAAAATTAAAACTGACATTGGTCGAACACAAAATGAGTTTTTTCAATACAAAAATTACACATTCATCTTTTGTCCTATAGAAGAATTAGCGAGGTAAAGATGATTTCAATCTTCTACTCATGATATTGAATGGAATAATCATACTTCCTATTTTGAACATATATTATCATCTGATGAAAATATTTCTGTTATTTTATACGAAAGGGTGTATCTAAATAACACCGAAAACATTAAAGCGTAATTGTTACACTTCGTTTTTGACTAACGAAAATACTGCTAGAAATCAAATCGAGGTGGTTTTGTTTACGTACTTTTCTCTCAGATCCTCATTTGTTTATGGGTGTGTTATTCATCAATGGGCGTGTACACCTTAGTAGAACTTTCAACTCAAACCATGTTTATAATGATCCTTTTATACATAAATCACGATTGGCGACATAATTCCATCTAAAAATTAACGGACCCTCTTTATGACGTAGAAACCTCATCTCGCCTGGAACCAATGAGCGTGACCCATAGAGTGACACTTATCACTGTTGCCATATCATCTAAACAAAATATCCGAGAGATCGAAATCGATATTGAAATATCTTTTGATATCAACTACCACTACTGCAGAAAAATATATTCAACTTGTCGATGGTAGGTTGAATCATTAGAATATAAACAATCTCTAAACAACGAAATGTCTCAATCTCAAAACCATTTGCACCATGACAATTTCACAATAATCCAATATATTTCATGAATGCAGCAACATTGCTTTGTTGACCCGTTTCACATGGAGCTGCATTTGCATCGAGTCTCGAATTCCGATTCCGAAGTTATTTATGTCGTCTAAAATGAGAAGAGAAGACACGTAATGAAATTAACCTCCAAATCTTGCTATATATCTTATTAATACATAATAATATTATTGATATATTGAATATAAACATGAACGTTGAATCAGGATTTGTAAAAGGCTCATCAGATAATCTACCGAAAATTGATTTGGAAATGGTTAATTATTTTTATGTCTCTAACATACTAGAGAATCTCCACAGTTCCTCAGTGCTGAAATGAGGAATAGAAAATCTGAAAGGTAAGTTCCACAATATTCATTCAATTTTCATTGCTTGTACCTATTATAGTTGCATTGGAAAATTGTTCACCTGAAAGGATATTTAACATCAGAATACCCATCACATGGAGATTCCGAGGGAGAATCCTCATTAAATCAGTCACTGATCGATATGTTTACCTATGCAACAATATGATCAATTGGTATGAAACAATGTTATTCCCAAGACTAGATACTGCTTGCATCTCCCCCTGAATGTTCTTCTAGGAGATGGATCATTCATTCTTCAAGCAATTTCCCTATGAATTTCTGCAAAGCAAAACTACTACTATAATATTGTGTTTACCCAGTGAGGGGCGAGATTTGTTCTCGAAATTCCCAGCTAAATGCTGTTTTTTAATTGCAATTAGGCACAGAACATTTCTCAATCATACTTTTGTTATTTAATAACATAACATAACATAATTATTTAATTTAATATTCGAAAGTTGCAGAAACTTAATATAGGTTAGAATTGATCTTCTTCTTGTTCTTATCCTCTATGTCCCAAAAATCAACTTGCCGATTCACCAATCTTGGTGCTTTGGTGAGAAATCATGTATCATTCATCTCTGTCTGGAATAGTCTTGTTTCAGTATTAGGGTTTTGACGTCACATCATCGCCTCGTTTTCAGAGGTCCGAAAAATCGGGGATTTCAATAATTTTTTATAAAACGTAGGGAGCTCACAGCAAGAAACGGTTTGCGGTGGTGAGCTAGTTTCGGTGAGTTCTATCGAATTATGAAATAAATTTTTTTTTGTGATACAAGCCCATTGTCGTTGATAACTCTTATTTGCAATCTCAAATAGTTTATACAGTGTATTGTAGTAAATCAGAATCTTATTTAGCTTCTGAAAACAAGATAGGCTTTCGAGTTTCTACTAAACAAGGTCTGTTGTCAGTGCATACCGTGGTTCGCGATTCGGGTTTTGAATATTTATTCAGTATTTTTTTTGTGGAATGATAGCCAGCCTTCTTCGATATGTTCGAGCGTACGGATATTTTAAAGTTTTAATGGTGAAGATTTCACTGTTTCAGTACTCATTCGATTTATCAGATTGTTATCGTTGTTACGTTGTTTATATTTTCGAGCAATAATATTGAGCGAAGACGTCACTGTCATGTTGTTGACTGTTGACAGATGATCGATACTTGCGAGCTGTTCTGCTTTCTTTTGAAGGACAATATCTTTCTTCTCATGATTCTTCGTACTTTGAGCGATGATCAACACCTGTCATTGACAGTGGTTAATATTTTTGGCGCTATTAAATAGCCTTAAAATTGATTGATTATGAAAGGACTAAGCCTAGCACGTTATCTGGATCTTTAAAAATAATGACTTGTTGTTGAATCGAATAGTAGGTGTAATAACCCTATTATTTATGTCTCGTTCGACGAAGTCGCTCATCCATCGAAAAAGAAGAAGATTGCGTCATGGGTCGACGTAGTTCCGAGGTCATGTCTGCGCATGTCTCCGTTTGAATACTTGTGGCTGTGGCAAAACGGCTTTAATCGTCGAAAAATCAATTTCCATGAAAACTAGATGTAAAATTAAGTCGAAGCCCTGAGGGGGCAGAAGGACGATCTAGCCTTCATAGCCATCAAATGATTAACATTTACTAATATTGGCTAAATTAGGTATTTTCTTGTTGGAGCTAGGATATTTTCTCATCATTCTGTGGTGGTGAAATACCATCTACAGTGTGTTCGCGTGAAAGTCTCCCACCAACACTTTTCTGAGCTATGGAGCGTTTTTGAGAAAAGAAACCGATCTTCCGGTCGAAGGACTGCCCATCATCTCGAGGAGACATCTTGCCATTTTCCTGCTGGAGAGGGATCCAACTCGTGTGACAAGTAAACCAGAGATTCGATTTCGCATTGTACATATTTTAAATTAAATCAGATATTGGTAAAAAATCCATCTATCACAATGGAATGATACAATACAATCCACAACCAAATAACTTGAAGCTGATTAATAGGATTGAAAAATTCAAAAGAGAATTCAAGAAACATCTACTCCTGTAATATTGACATCTTATCTCATTTTTATAGTTTTCTTGTACAACTACTATAGTTTTCAATTGTGTACCTAACAGCTGAGTCTTATTTCACTGTCTTCTTTATTTTATTCTGTCAAATATATTTATGTATTAACTATGTTCCCTGCTATAAACAAATGTTGTTTCTTGGGAATAATAAAGTTGATTGATTGATTGATTCTTTCCCCATTAGTGTTGGGATTATTTCGAATCGAATTTACATTTAATGGGAAGCAATTTTGGTGTTGGTAACATACCTCAAATTGGAGGGATTTTAGGCTGAAAGTCACGAGGTCGACATCACCCTACCAAGAACCCGAACACCATCACAGGTATGAGATTTTATTTTGATTATTTATCGAGTGGCCCAAAACAATTTTTTCATTTTGTCGTTTAGGGTTCTTATATCCCCGGAATCTGTCCTTTCTCCGGTGAAGACTGCATCTTCCATCATCCACCGCGTGTCGATCACTGGGGGTGTGTTATCCAGTCGTTGCTGACTGGATATTTCTTGGCTTGGCCCCTTTTTGCAAGCCTAATAGAAGAGCCTGCTGATGGCCCAGGAGCCCTGAGAATACCACCAGGCTGTTCTGTGGCTGAGACCTAGACATCTTTGCAAGTCTACCCTGTATATGTCTCCCGCCGGTACGCTCAACACCCTGTATATGATCGACGTGGCCGCCCACACCCTGTACTCGACAGCTAGACACCACTGATGAACATATTCGCCTGTCACCTTCAATCTTGGTGAGTCTGCTCCATATTACCTGATTTAAGAGTTGAAAACCACCACCGAATACGGCTACCAGCTCTTTAGGGTTAAATTACCATTTATTTTGAGTTTATCATGAGTATGTATTTAATACTCCGAATTGTACTATTTATAAGTTAGTTATCACTTATATTTATTACCTTGTCTATAAATAATATTACAATTTTTGCTATGCATTTGGTAAAATAAGGGATGTACTGAAGAGTTGATTTCATAAGGGATGTACTGAAGAGTTGATTTCAGACAGTCCCTTTTTTTGTATAAACTACTCCTAATCGCTTGTTTTCCTTGAGATCAGTACAACTTTCTAATGAAGTCTGTATTTCTTGATATTAAATCAATATTCACCCTATCTACATTGGCATTTAACGTACCCACCCCATTGTCCTGCTGAACTACCATTGTTTGGTTTCTACAGTCTCAAACTAGGCACTTTAAACACTATATTTTGTAGCAAGACTTTTTTTTTTAGGTACCATGTATTTTATTTATTTATTTATTTATTGAACAAATAACTTCCAGACAGAATAGGCTCTGGTATAAGGAAGTACATAATTATATACCATAGCATCATTCAAAATATATGTAAAACTGTAAATTGGCAAACAAAGAATAATATTTGTAAAAAAAAAATTAAAAAAAAAAATGGCATGTTTAATTTTATCCAGTTCGCTCAGAAATAATCAGTTTTTTTTACTTCATTTTTGAATGTACCTTTATTTCTGCAGTATTTTATAATATCAGGTAGTTTATTGAATTCAGTTAAGGTTGAATGAGTGAATCTTTTTTGTCCGATTATGGAGCTAGCGGCGTCAAGATGAAACAAGATATTGTCTAGTTCCATGATTATGAATTGCAGAATTCTGTATCAAAATTATATTCGACTTCAATTTTTTATTTATGACATTATATGATATTTTAAGAGTTTCAATTCTATAATATATTTCATCTAAAGAATACGTTTTTGTTATTTCATACAATTGATTGGTTGGTGTGTCAAATGGAAGACGATACAATACTTTTAACGATTTTCTATATAATGTTGATATTTTATTGAAATCATTTTTTGAACAATATCCCCAAACTTTTATTAAATAGTTGATACGACTCAGTATATGAGAGTAGAGAATCATGTTTGCAATTTTAATATCAAGTATGGGACATCTTCTCAATGCACCAATAATTGGAAATATTTTTTTTGTCAGAACATCAATATGTTTGTCCCACTTCAACCTGTCATCAAACCAAATACAAAGATATTTTATCTGGTCAGTTTGTTTTAAGAGTTCATTTTTTATTTTGAGGTTGAGGTAAATTTTTTGTTCATTTTTTTGGTGAAAAATCATATATTCTGTTTTGTTAGTATTTATCGATAAAAGGTTAGATTGGAGCCATTTTTCAAATATTTTCTTCATTTATCATATTTTCTGAATTTGAAGGATTCTTGCCTTCATATAAAAGTACTGTATCATCTGCATACATGGTATATTTACACGCTAGACCAATTTCACTGATATTTTAACATATTTTACATAAAGTAAATATAGTATAGGTCCTAAGAAGGAGCCTTGTGGGACACCCTTATTGATTAATAGTTTATTTGACACAGAGTTGTTTTATTTTGTATTGATCGTCCTATTTTCAAGATATGAATTCAAAATATTTCTCACAGTGCCTCTGAGTCCCATTGTTTCTAAGTTTTCTAAAAGTGTTGTATGATCAATTGTGTCAAAAGCCTTTTTGAGATCAATGAAAACAGCTACCACATAATTTCTTGAATCAAGTCCTCTCTGGATTGATTCTATCACTTGTAGTACTGCTGCTTGTGTTCCACTGTTTTCTTGAAAACCAAATTGATTTCAAAGTTATATTTTGAGTTTCAAAATACCACATAAATCTCAGGCAAGTAAACAGCCAACTCATGGGTAGAATTTTAACTAAATTTTATCATGTATTACCCCCTGAAATTTGCAACGTTACAATTAAAAAATTTGATAACTTTGCACTAACAATTAATACGCTAAGTATATCCCAAAAAAAATATGTATATATGATCAGGTATCATTATTCATTACAAACCTCCTGTGAGCTTGTCTGTTGCATGTCAAAACATGCCTCAAACTACTATGGTGGATATCACAGTTTCTACATATTTTATTAAAATTCGAACACATAATGTTTACAGGTGACTTCAATATCAATCTGTCTCAAAATGTCTCAAAAACTACACATTTAACATCAAAGAACACAATGATAGTTCAGAAAATCGTCAAACGAATGAAATGCTTACTTCAGTAAAAAATTCTTGAGATTTCCTATGAATTTTGAATCTTCCATTTGTTTAAATTTGTCAGGTAAAACATTGAAAAAACGTACAGCAAGGCACCTAGGGCCATCTTGACACGTTTCTAGTCTACAGAATTTGGGTTTCAAGTTTTTTTTGTTTCTTGTATCATGGTCATGATTATCCTGGTGAGTCACATTTTTTGAAAAACTATTTACCAGAAAAATAACCCACTTCCGAAAATCAAAGAAAAATTGTTTTTTTCCTTTAAATTTCCCGTAGTATTCAGATATATACAATAAACTTGGTAAATATTTTTTGACAATGAAATACCACATTTTGGAATATTTTCAACCCTTAAGCTCCCTTGGAAGGGGTTGAAATAGTTAACCCCTAATATATTTTTTTACAACCTTATCGTTAATGGACATTTTTTCGTTCACAAAAACATGGCTCAGATGACCAATTATATAGGTAAATTTTTCTAATCTTTGGAGGAGTGTAACTTATCCGGGGAGAGGTATTTTTCGATAAATCAATCACCCATCCTAATTTTCATTACAGAATCATTACTTGAATATTCTCGGTGTTATTTGATTGATTTGTTGGTTCATCATAATTATGGTAAACGATGCAGTACTTCAAATGGCCTTACCACAAAGAGCCGGCAGATCGTCGTCAGAGGCGTGCGTCAAAATGGCCGCGAACGCCTCCTTCCAGCTGCCGATCTCGCAGTTGTTGATGATGCTGCCCCAATCTTCCGAAACTATGGCCGCGATTAGCGAGGACACGTAGCCTTCCGCCTGTTCCAGGTATTTGTGCTGTGTTCTTGCCAAAAGATCTGCACCACCTTGAGAGAAAAAAAATTGTCTGTGACCGGAAGAAAGTTTGACTTTTATTTCTGTTGACAGGTTATACAATGTGACTTTTCATAAAAACTGTCAATTCTCAATTTCGGAAAATTGTTATTCTTCATGGAAATCCAACCAAATTTGGTGTGGTATGAATAACCATCAATATGATAAGTCTTACAGAGATGCACATTATTTTGGACAGTGCCGTGCGTTTTTTTTAACTGAAAAGGAGTCGATTTTTTATAAAATCATATTAGGCATTTTTTTCCAGGAAATCTTACCTGATATTATTGTTCCTCATGCTTTCGAACCCCCATATGCAAAAAATCACCTAATTCCGAATTAACAGGATTGGCTTCATTTTTTTCATTTTCAGTCTCGAATAAATAGTGACTTCAAATCAACTACGAATTTTGGAACATTCAATGGCTCCGGTAGATGGAAAATCATGATTTGGAAGGAAAAACGGGTTATACTTTTTTATGTTGAACTCACCGTTTCCGAGTAAATAATTATTACGTTCGCAAAAATGCTGTTTAGATGTGCCTGTTTTTCTGAAACCCTTCATAGGCATCTCATGAAAATCCACGTATGTGGGTTTGAAACCATGAAGAACAATATTATTAGTTCAGTTTTCCTGTGAAAAAATGCCTAATATGATTTAATAAAAAACTGACCCCTATTCATTCCAATAAAAATGCACGGCACTGTCTAAAATTATGTTTTTCTTTGAAGAACTGGTCATATTGATGATAATTCATACCGATACAAATTTGATGAAGATCGCACGACTAATAGCTGAGATATAAAGGGGGGCCGTTTGAAATGAGACACGCTGTATAATTCAATGTTCGACGTGGCAAATATCCAGGAAAGTAGTTGTTTTTTGTTGAATATTCGGAATGATATTATGTGCTTTTACATATTTTTTCTGCAGAAGAATGCAAATTCTCAACTTCAGAAGATTGTGTTTTCAAATTCATATCTTGTGGGTTCAATAGATATGATTCAATGTTCGTCGTAGCATATAGCCAGGAAAGTAGTTGTTTCTGTGGAATAAACCGAGAAAGAATTGATATTTCCATCACATAGAGAATGCGAATTCTCATTGTATTTCTATACAGTGTGTCCCACTTACCATGCTCACCATGGGTATCTTTTCAACGGTGAGAGATACGTTTTCGTTTTATACGCAAAAAACAGATTTTGATCATTTTCATGGCTCATCCGTAACTTCTTCATTTATGAAAATATTCAAATAGAAATTTCACATTCTCATGGCAGTTTTTCAAAGAGATTTCGAAAAAAATATAAAATTTTACCAACTCTTCTAGAATTTGAGATATCAGCACCAACTTTAGTTTTTCAAATGTATGTTTTAGCTCACTATGACTTAGTTACAAATAACTTTTTTTCTCTTACAGATGATATGTCGCAGTAACAGTTTTGTGTTGATAACAACGGAGTTATCGTCATTTATACAAAAACAAAACATTATTTGGAAGCCACCATCTCGAATTTATAAATTTTAACAAAAAAAATCATGATCTCCGACCTCAAAAACCCCCACTTACCAACTTTGAATGGAATCGGACCAAATCTTGTCCGCCATCTTGGAGCAGCCATTTTTTTCATTTCAACAAAAATTTCATAATGTATTGTCACCGAAATTATGAACACCTGCCAAATTTCAAGTTAATCGGAGAATGTGAATTTTCTATTTGAATATTTTCATAGATGAAGAAATTACGGATGAGACATGAAAATGATCAAAATCTGTTTTTTGCGTATAAAACAAAAACGAATAGATTTTATCGAAATATTTTTTCTCATTTTAGTTGGCCTTGACAAACTCCACATTTGGTGTCATTTAACCGACCTCGTATCTCTCACCGATAAAAAGATACCCATGGTGAGCATGGTAAGTGGGACACACTGTATGTACAGGAGGTAGGAGGGATCATTTTCGATCAAACTAACCGTATCTGTTGTTAAATAGTTGCAATGAAACTATGTCACATTTGTGTTTTTTTCTTTCACGAAATTCTTTGGCAAGGATGCACCTTTCCACAGAAATAATTTCATGACCTGCGTTACTTCGTATCAATTACCTATGGAAAATATTGTTTTCCTCAAGTTTTGTCTCTGAATGAAATATTTCAGTTGATTTTCAAATGCCGCTGGCAGATTTAATTACTACACCACAAAGATAATCAATGATAAGAAAAAGTTGCCCATTTAATACAGATTCCGAAATAGTATAACATAAGGGGTTATTCAAAACAGCCTCTTTGTTCATTATTCCAAATTTTTTGGGATTTTCTCAGAGAGCCTAAAAGAAAAATTTACTAGCTTGTCAGTGACAATTTGTATTGAAAAAAATTTGGAGAAGAGAAATAAAGGTATATAGAAAAAATATCAAATTTTCACTTATCTTTGGACGTTTCGGGACCGATTCTGCTCCCGTTTTCAACATGAAGAGATTCTTTCAATTGCGAAGTCGTATTGTATGTCTTGAAGCTTTTCAGTTTTCAATGACAATTGGTGACGTGGGCAATCAAATGAGTTACAGGATGTTTTCATTAATTAATTAAGGTATACTGTAAATACAATTTTTTGACGATTGTTCTTCATTTTTCGGCTTTGTTTGAGTTAGAATTGATCTCATTGTATTTTCAGTTTTGAACACAGTTTTCACTTGAAATTTATCACCAACACGTTTTATTTTTTCAGATATGCAGGGAATGTATGGTATTATATTTGTCGTTATTGATGGTTGATTTCGTTGTGGTTGACCCTGTTTGTTTTCAATTTGATGAATCGTCCTATCGACAAAATTCTTTGGATGGGTATTGAGTTGGAGAACATTTTTAATGTGGTGGACTTCGTTATTGAAAATTTGTTGGTCAGATGATATTGATTTAGCTCTATCATGGAGTGATTTGATTATTCCTCTTAATACTCTCCTGATGATTTGATTGAAAGTTCAAGTATCTGTTAGTATGGGTCTTTTTTCGATATACACTCGTTACAAAGATGTTATTTGATTTTTCAATAAGAACATCTAGAAACGGTAATTGATTATAAGATTCAATTTCCAAAGTGAACTTTATTGTAGGTTCGGCATTGTTCGCATAATCCAGAAAATTATCTAGCTCCATAACGTTATGAGGCCAAATTATGAAAATATCATCTACGTATCGCCACCATGTTTTAGGTTGTTTTTGGTAATTTTTGATGATGTCTTCAAAATTCTCCATAAATATATTGCTTAAAATTGGAGATAATGGCGATCCCATGGCCATTCCTAAGTTTTGTTGATAAAACTCATCACCCAATTGAAAATATGTTGTTTTTAGACACAATTCCAAAAATTCCATTATTCCTTCGATACTTAGATTAGTTCTTTCAGTGAGACTTTCATCGTCTTCTAATTTATGTTTCACTATTTGTAAAGTTTTATCTATTGGAACATTTGTGAATAAACTTACTCTATCGAAACTAACAAGAGTATCATTTGTATCAAGAGTGATGTCATTAAGCTTTTCTAAGAAATGAGGAGTATTTCTGATGTAACTCTCACTTTTTCCTGAAATAGGATTGATGATATTCAAAAGAAATCTTGCTAAATTTTGACATGGAGATCCAATTGAACTCACGATTGGTCTCAATGGAACATTTGGTTTGTGTATTTTTGGTCCGTAAAAATGAGGAGGTTTGCTGTGATATGTGGAGATATTCTTCCTTTCCGCGAGTGTCAGTTGATTTTCGTGTTTCTTAATATTGTTACGTATCTTTCTTTCGATATTTGCTGTAGGATCTTTATTCAATTTCGTGTAATTACCATCATTTATAAGTTGTTCAATTTTAGTATGATATTCAATTTTGTCCATGATGACTGTAGCATTTCCCTTATCAGCTGGAAGTATTTTGATTGTGTTATCGTGTTTTAGGTTATTAATTGACTGTTTTTCTATTCTAGTTATGTTTTGTGTGATTTTGTGTTCTTTTTCAATTATAATTTTATTTCTAATTCTATACTCATTAGACATTTTGGGGCAAATCATCTGATTTGTCCTTACTACACGTATATTGAAATAATATTCATATTTTTATTTTATGGAAACGAGGAGAAAATACCTCCTCGATTAACCTACAGACAGTAGCCTCTTTGTTATTCATTTTTTCCAAATGTGTCACGTTTTTCAGAAAAATTGAATAACTTTTGAACCAACAATTTAATAACCACATATATCTTTAGTTTAATTGCAAATAACCCCTCTTACCACCCCACTTCTTTTGATCCATGACTTATGGGACACTGTGTATATATAAATTTTTTCATGTTTATAATTTATCTGAGAATATTCCTTTTTCAATACTTCTACCCAATCAAGGGGTTCAAACTTGAATGATGGAAACCAGTTTTGTAGAGTCCCTGTATATACCTTAGACAAGAGTCCGGACACAAAACTGACAGCCGTTGGGGTTTTTAATATTTTGTTTCATTTGGTTTGCCCACCTGACAATGTGACGAAACACCATAGTCGTCCCGCCCGCTTTTTTAATTATTTCGAATTTCTGTCACTGTCACTTTGAAATTTTATGACCGCCAAAATTTAGCATTTTGAATTATTTCGTACATTATTGCGATAATTCATTGGAAAAGGGATTAAAGTTATTCAATTCTCCGAATGATCCTTTAAAGATAACGTCATGGAAGAATGCACTGAAACGTCCAGAATGGAAAATTAATTTCAAGAAATCCGCAATATGTGAGTTGAATATTCAAATTTACTTGTAAAAACAGTACAAAAGATGAATTTTAGTCCCATTTTGATAGATTCTTTCAAGCTGATGGATTTCAAATTGAAAGAGTCTGCTGTGCCGTCAATTTATGAAATAGAGACGTTCAAAGAAAGAGTTCCGTCGTCACCGTATTGGGAATTACTGAATGATACGATCGCAGAGAAAGAAAATGAGAATGAGATGATGCGGAAAGAAATTAAAAGTTTGAAATCAAAACTAGAAGATTTAGAGAAATTGCAATCTGCTATGTTCATCAGTCCACGGTGTTTTTAATTCAGATCGAATTCAAAATTTACAGGTGAATATAGACTGCAAGAAGAGGTGGGAAACCGACACAATTAATAAGGCATATAGGTATATATATTGTTGTTTTGATTTTGTCACTTTTATTTCGGCTGAGTGTTATTAAATTGAGAGAATCGGAGAAAATGATATTGAAACAATTATATATCTTCTATTTTTTTATAACAAACAACTATATTTTCTTGGCTATATGTAGACCAGATACCAGGTAGAACTCTTAAATTATGTTTCTTATATCTAATGAAGTGAAGAAATATCTGATGACGAAAATTTGTAATAGCCATCTCAGGAATTGATTATGAAAATTATCGATTCGAAATTTGAACACCCTGTTGTTCATTATTTGAAAATCTAATAGTTATTCCAGTTAAAATAGCCCTATTTCTCACTTTTACCTACGGCTATGAACGGTTTGACAAATAATCTAACCCTCAAAATTGTTTCTGACAATCATTGATACTAGCGGAATTGAAAAGACAGAGCTCGATATATATGTCTTATTCCTTTATTCAATCAATGCATTTTTTGAAAACAGAAAAGGACAGAAGTATAGCTGTGTCCGGACTCTTGTCTAAGGTATAAGGTAAGGTAAGACAAGGGATAGAGAAGGCGAAATTTCGAACTTTTTCTTGAAATATCTCGATAAATAGTGGTTTGTTGTTATCAAATTCGTGTTTATTAGACAAAAATACGTAGGTACCAAACAAATCTTCGAAAAAAAAACCATGAACTACAGAAAAAACGGCGTTATGATTCATAATGCCCTCCATATCGCCCCGGCGTAATGGGTCTATTGATAGCAACCGTTGCCAAGGTATTATACAGCAGTAATTGACAAGTGAAAAATAAAATTATTAACTCCGAACATAAAGATGTCCCTACGGAAAAATGTTACAATAAGGGCGATGTTCGCTTTTTTTCCAATTGGCAATTGAAAATTGTCAGGCAGACAGTTTCACCAATGATTAAAGAAAATATTTTGAAAGTTTTCTTACCCGTTGTTGCAATAATCAAGGCATCGGCAAATCGCTTGGCCTTCAAACAAAGTCCAACTGCAGCCTCCACGTTGTTCAATAGAAGTGCTTGTGTTATAAGTCCAACATTATCTGAAATTCACGAATAACCGTGAGAAAATAGAGTCGCTTCATTGAAAGCATACCTACCATCGCTAGTATTTATTTTGAAAAGTTCGGTCTTCTTTCCATCTTGACTCACTAACGAATCGAAAGGATCATTGAATGAGGCATCATCTATCTGAAATAGAGTTAAGTTGTAGTAGGAGAGCTGCCTGCAAATTTAGACCGTCATTTGATAATAACATCTGAAGGCAATTAAAAACATTGTGTTTTATCGAGCGGCACCGCTATTCACTATTCTTTTTTTTTAATTAACTGCCTTTTCACAATCCATTCCAACACAGATTATTTAGTTTCGTTTCTTTAAACGAATAATATTACGTTTTTTTATGTTCTGTTTCCCAAGAAAAAAGATATCCTGTAATGTTCAGAAAACATCGTGAAAACCAAGGGAAATAAAGTAGATATTGGTGTTCTTCTTAAATTTCTGGAGGTTATATTCCTCGGAGAACACTTCCCTGAGCAAATTTCATTGGTACTAAATGTTACTTCTAGTTTCTCGTGAGAAAATATATTTATACCAATTTTAGTAAAATGAATTTGTGAAAAACTGAGAAATTGAGGTACTATCGACTTATTTTTTATTATTCTGTTTAACTGGAGTGAGTTAATTGTGTTTTATATAACCTAACAATGATATAGATGTGAATTGCTTCAATACTACATACCTACTGTATGGCGTTCCTTGTAACAAAATATGTTTTCACCAACTGAAATCAGTGTTTTGTATTTTATTCAAACTAATCTTATCTTAGTATTTTATTATGAATATTTCGGTGTGAAATTTTTAAACAGAATACCACTTTAACTTCAATTGAAAACCGTAAATGTCTTTTTTCATAGGAAAATCATGTTCCATCCATCGCAAAAGCTGCTTCACAAAAGCTCGGATTCTTGTTCCGTGCGAAAATCTACACCTCAACAGCTTCTCTTGATCTACAAAGCGAAGATACGGCCAGTTTTAAAATCCTGTTCTCATGTTCGGGGGTTCAGCACACAAACGTACGCTGATGCTCTTAGATTCCATTCAGAGAAGAGCCATTCACCTGGTGGGTGATGCCACACTCACCAAATCTTTGACCCCACTAGAACACCGTAAAAAAGTCGGTGACATTCGACTTTTTCATAGATACTTCCACCGGAAATATTCCTCAGAAATCTCTGCTTTGATTCCATCAATAGCAATACCAGTCAGACAAACTCGACAGACCCAGTCAGCACATCCTTTCGTTGTTAACCTTGAAAAATGTCGAACAACACTCTACCAAAACTCGTTCGTCTATAGAAAGGCGAAGCTTTGGAATTCTTTGCCAATGAAAGTATTCCCAAGAACTTATAACATCCAAAAGTTCAAAAAGAATTCCAACACCTACCTCCTCTCCCTATCCTTCCTAGGTACGCGCGATGTTCCACGAACACTATAGGAATTTCAGTTCTGGTGCTCCAAGAGATAAAAAAAATCCGGTATTAATTGAAGCTCTCTTGGTACTATAAGTGAAAATGTACTGAAAAATACTCCGGCAATAATAGGCGAGTGATCTTTTTCTTTTTTTTTTTTCAAATACCTTTCAATTTCATATTTTTTAGAATGTTTCTTTCGATTTTAAGGTGTTATAATCAACAATAATGGCACGGTAGTTTTCAAACGGCAAAAAATTTAGCGCGATTAAAAACTGACGTCACGATTTCGTAAGTAGGGGCAGACCATAGCACAGTTGCCATGTGTTGAAATACGATTGGGAACTTCAGAAATATTAGTTATTTGATAATTCATAAATCCTCAATTTATGTATTGGTTATATTACTAATTAGACATACAAAATCAATTGTTTTAAAATATTCCCTCATATGTTGTGGCTTATTGCTTAAAATACATTTGTATTGATAATATTATTTTTTTGTCACATCTATGGGATTTTTATTTTTCAAACATATCTTTCAGTCAGAATAAGTTCTGGTATAAGGAAGAACATAATTATAAAATAATCCAATATATAAAATTCTCCTGTCCCGGTCACGGTGTTGGTGGTCGAACTCCTCCGAAACGGCTTGACCGATTCGTATGAAATTTTTTCTGCGTATTCGGTAGGTATGAGAATCGGTTGTTATCTATTTTTTAAATCGAAAATTCAAGATGGCGGATCCAATATGGCGGGCGAGTAGTGTTATCCGATTTCATTCAAAATTGGTATTGGGGGTTTTCGGGGTCGGAGATCATGATTTCTTCATCAAAATTAGGAAATTCAAAATGGAGGATACAATATGGCGGACGAGTTTTGTAATTATGGTCAGATTCCATTCAAAATTGGTATCTGGGGGTTTCGAGGTCAGAGATTATGATTTTTTATCAAAATTAGGAAATTCAAAATGGCGGATCCAATATGGCGGACGAGTTTTGTAATTATGATCCAATTATATTCAAAATTGGTATCTGAGGGTTTTCGGGGTCGGAGATTATGGTTCGTTCGTCAAAATTCGGAAATTCAAAATGGCGGATCCAATATGGCGGACGAGTTTTGTAATTATGGTCAGATTCTATTCAAAATTGGTATCTGGAGGTTCTAGAGGTCGGAGATATGAATCATTTGTCAGAATTGGGAAATTCAAAATGGCGGATCCAATATGGCGGACGAGTTTTCTAATTATGGTCAGATTCTATTCAAAATTGGTATCAAGTGGTTTTCGGGGTCGGAGATAATGATTCTTTTGTCAAAATTTGGAAATTCAAGATGGCGGATCCAATATGGCGGACGAGTTTTGTAACTATGATCCGGTTCCATTCAAAATTTGTATCTGGGTATCTTAGGTCGGAGATTATGATTCTTTCATCCAAATTAGGAAATTAAAGATGGAGGATCCAATATGGAGGACGGGTTTTGTAATTATGATCCGATTCTATTCAAAATCTGTATCTGAAGGTTATCGGGGTCGGAGATTGATTTTATTCTATAAAATTGGGAAATTCAAGATGGCGGATCCAATATGGTGTAAGAGCTTTGTAATTAATAGTAGTTTGAAAAACTATAATGAATCACGCTTTTATAGATAGTTCAAAAAACGAGATAGATTGTCGAACTAAATAAAAGTAGAAAATAAAAATAGTAGTTTGAAATAATAATAAGACCCAATATATAATTTTCCATCGAAGAAATAAACAAAATATTGATTTGAATATTAGAATAAAAAATGAATGATTGAAACAAACTGCCTATACCAAATACCTTGGTATTTGGATTGATGAAGAGTTGAAACATGGAACAAGCATATTGGCATGCTAGAAGAAAAAATTTCCCCCATAGTTGGTGCGTTAAGAAGATGTCCAAAACTTCTTCCAAATATAGCAAATACCGTTCTATACTCTCACATCCTTAGTAAAATGAACTATCTCATAAATATTTGGGGTTCATGTTCCAAGAATAATCTCAACAAAATATCTGTACTATATAAAAAAGCATTGAAAGTACTGTATCGTCTTCCATATGACACCCCATCAAATCAACTTTATAAAAAAACAAACACATTTTCTTTGGAAGAGCACTAACTGATAAATACTCTCAAAATTTCTTTTGATATTATCAACAAACACCTCAAATCTAACTTCATATTGGTAAGGAATTCTCAAATCCATGAACATCATACTAGACAATATGACTTGTTTCATCTTGATGCTGCTCATTCTACACTTGGTCAAAAAAAGTTCACTCACGGAGCTATCTCAAAATTCAATAAATTACCTGATGATATCAAAAGTTGCGCAAATATCACCCAATTCAAAATCAAAGTCAAGAAACATATCCTCTTGCAAAGAGAAGATCAAACCTGAGTGAATGATTTATCATTGACTAATTTATTTCATCATGTCATAATGTACTTTTCATGAGCTTTTTGTTTTATTTATTTTTTTTTATTCTGTTTTTTATTTCAATAACTATAATTTAATTTGATAACGCATGAATAATCTCATACCAGATATGAATCTGTCTGATTATTCATGTTATTGCATTGTAAATGTTAATGATTATATTTATATTTATATTTGATGCAATGTAATGTTTGCTGGTTGCTAAAAAAAGTAAAGAATGGACTATAATATCGTCGCTTTCTTAAATTATGTTTCATCTCTTGTTTTCTTCAACGACATGACTCTAATCTTTTCGATAAATTGATTATAATTGGTGACTTGACAACCTTGCTTCATGAGTGCAAATGGAAGATTATCTGACCAATAACGAAACAGCATAAAAAATTACTTTACCATTTATTCGACGTATCGCCAAATGTAGGCCATGGTGGTACGTTTGATTTCAACAATTTTGAACAACACATAGACTCAGACTCAGAGTTCCAAAAATTAATTCAGTTCCCTAAGGACACAATGAATGCCAATAATTCATTATCACTTCACTCGCCCATTCATGCTCTAGGGAGATTATAATAAGTGAAAAATTAATAAAAACAGAAACTCACCCTATTGATGTTCTTCAGATCATCCGCTAATCCGTCGACATCGCTATGCAGATCTTTGGGTATGTACTTATTCAATTTATTATTGACATCCTCGATGCTGTAACCCAACAAATTCAACAACTCCGCTCTAGGACTGACTTCGAAGTTGGCCTTGATGAAGTGCCAAATGTACTTTTTGTGTTGATCGTTCGTTTGTTCGGATTTACTGCGACAATAATCTGAAAATTGGTATTGTCAATTCAATCGTCAAGCAGTGACAGTTTGTGTTGCAGTGCATGTATCAGAATAGTATATTGTTCAACAAGC